CAACATTTTTGAAAAATGTTATTGATCATCAGCTGTTTTTTACTGACAAACCAACATTGTTTTTTTTAAAAAAAAAAAAGACTAGCAAGTTGTCTTGATTGCTAACTGCTAAAAGTTAGCAACAAAACTTTTTAGGGTTTTACTGAACAATTGTTTCAACTCATTTCAACTTTTGTGAAGCAGCAGATCACTTTTTCAGAAAACCTGAGCATCTGGTTCCAAAATACTGAAAGGTGTGATCGAACTATTTTGAAGTCAGTTTGATTTTTCTCGACACCCAAAATTTTGTTTCTGCTTCACATCCATCATTAGTTCCTTCCAAAGGTTTATGGCATTCACATTCACAGCTGCCTCACTGTTTCTCTCATCTTGTGGTCTCTATATTTCCACCATTTCTATCACCCAATAAGATATTTTTGACTTCCTTGAATTCACTTTACCCTTTCATCTTCCCAAGCATTACTTCCTTGGGATTTGTCAAAAATGTAGCCTTTGGCTTGCTACCACAACTGACTTATTCAACTGTATCCATGCCTCTTAAAGTCCGAGTTTCAAGTAAAACCTAGCAAGTCCTTTTATCTACAATCCCTTAAGCACCAAATCACAGACTTGTAAGAGTATGATGGGCAACTAGTTTAGTCATCCTGCTAGATCATTAAACAGCAACAAGACAGTTTGGGTTTTATTAAAAATTAAGATTGCTACATGTACACAGATGCTAATTATTTTAGCATTATCCTCAACTCTAGTGATAAGCAAGATAAACATGATTGTTGATCTGTCACCAAGATGGAGAAATGTAGCTGCTGCTTCCCACACCTCTACCAGCCCACTAGGCCAAACTTCCTTTAAAGCTCCCCTTTGCTCTGTTAACAAAATTAACCTTTGTTGCTTCCTCAAACTTATACCCACCAAATAGCTGACCATCCAGTCTCCCTTCTTGGCTCCCATGCTAATTGATCTTGTTTCCCTCCTAAAGAAAGAGAACCATTATCTCCCTGCCTTTTTCTAAATTTGCCATCTTCACAACCCTGCCCTGCCCCACTCAAAGAACACTTTTTACACCATCACCCTTGCAAACTATTGCCCTGTCTCCCAACATCCTGTTCCTCAAATAACTGAACATATCTTTCAAATCTGTTCATCTTTCCCAGTGCTCTACATTTGAATTCCCTTGAGAGGTTTCCACTGTTATTACAGTACCAAAACACCTGAAATAGGATATGTTTGCCCTCCTATGTGATTATGGAAAAGGTAATGATCCCTTTCCATCCTTATCTGGCCATAGCCTCTGCCATGGTACCACATTCCAATTTTTGTCTCCTATCATCATGCTAGAAGAAACTACACTTTGCCTTTTTCCATTCCAGTATGTATTTGTTCTACTTCTAATATGCATGCTGTCTTTGAGCAAAATGATCTATATACAAATTTAGAATGGACCATTTGCACTACCAACTCCACCCCCTACCCCCCACCCACTGCCAAATTGCACAAAGCTTGATCTGCCATTTGATAAGCTATGGCTGACGCTGTGACTTCAACTCTACTTTTCTACCTAACAGAGATCCTTTCACTTCAAAAAGTTAACTCCCTTTGCCTTAAAAATATTCAGTGACCCTCCCTGCACCCTGCTGTGGGGATGAGAGTTCCAAAGACTCTTAATCTTGACTTTTTCTTCATCTGTTTTAAATATGAAATACCTTAGTTTTCAGCAATATCCTGTAATGAAAGTCCCACAGGGTAACATGCTTTCAGCATCAACCCGAGAGAATTTCCCCATGGCATCTTTTCTGTTTCGGTAGGATTACCTTTCGTTGTTGACTTCAATGATTGATTGCACCAGAAGCAAAGTGCTGGAGATACACTGGTCTGGCAAAGTCTGTGGAGAGAGAGAAACAGTTGACTTGAGTCCAGTATGACTTCAATGGAACAGAAGCCCAGAACTACTACATGGTGGGTATATCCGGAAGGGATGTCGCAGTGAATGAAACACACAAGCATAGTGTGGATATTCACTTAACTTTTTCTCTCCTCACAGTTGTTGTCAGACCTGCTGAGTTTCTCTAGCACTTTTATTACAGATCACCAGCATCTGTAGTACATTTATTTGAATGCAACTATATCCTTTATTAGAGACCAACACTGCACAGCATTCTGATTGTATTTTCAACAATGCACTGTATACCTGTAGCAAAACATCCCAACCTTTTATATTACATTACTCTAGTAATAAAATACACCATTCTAATTTCCTTCCGAATAACTTGCTGTAACTGCACACTAACTTTGATTCATGCACCTAGATCCTTCCGTGCTACAGAATTTGGCAATATTTCTATTTAAATATGCTGCTTTTCTATGAACACATTCACATTTTTCCATGTTATAGTCCATTTGCTACTTTCAACCCATTCACTTAAGGAATCTGCAAAGACATATAGATATGTCCTCTTCACAACTTACTTATGATGCCAAGATGGATATTTAAGCAAATTCAGCAAACATCATTCAAGTCACTTTAAAGTTGTGATTATACTGATGTGGAATTACACTCATTACGCCAAACATGATCCATTTTATACCTTTTCCTATTAGCATGGATAGCATTGGTTGCCTAATATGTCACATCCCTACACATATACCCTTCTCTGTCTTTCATCATTCTTGTTCTGTGCAGTAATCTTTGTAGACCTTGTCAAATGCCCTCTGGTAATACAACACTTACATGAGTTTCCCTTCATCTATGTTGCTTGTTGTTTTCTCAAAGAATTCTTAAATGATAAACCGTTTCTCTTCCTCAAAACCACATTGATTTTTGAAATGAGATAGTAGGAACTGCCGATGCTGGAGACTGTTCATCCAGCTCTACACCCCATCTTCTATCTGCCTCCCCCTCTCTCCCTATTTATTTCAGAATCCCCTTCCCCTCCCCCATTTCTGAAGAAGGGTCTAGGCCCGAAATGTCAGCTTTCCTACTCCTCTGATGCTGCTTGGCCTGCTGTGTTCATCCAGCTCTACACCTTGTTGTCTTTGATTTTTGAAATGCCCAGCTACAACCTCTCAAGGAAAATACTAGAATTCATTACTTAACGGATGTTAAGATAAGTGGATTTTGGCTTCCTGCTTTGTCTACTTGTTTCTTGAATGGAGGAGGTGCAACTGCCATTTTCTCACTTTCCTTTATTATTTTCCAGACTCTCCCTCTAGAGGATGATTGCCTACCTTATGCTCAACATTTCTACAAGTTTTTAAAAAGGTAATCTGTTTTTATATTTCCAGGTAGCCTTCTCTTGTACTCTAATATCTCCATTATTCTTTGTCATTCCTTGCCATTTTCCCATATATTCAGGTTGTGGCCTTTGTCATCTTGCAACTTTGTTTTGATAATTTTCAGATCATACATTTACTTCTACTTGATGTCAGTTCATGCATTGTTATAATTGTTACATACATTCAATTACACAGCCTTCAATTTTGATCATTGTTGTATACTCCAATATTATTTGCTGTACACTACCCTGACCTGCTGTAGAGCAGGAAGCCTTTGAACCCAGGCCTCCTCGCTCAGAGGTAGGGGCACTCTGCTTAGGATAGGAAGTTTATCAAGCTGGAGAGAGTTCAGAAAAGGTTTACCAGGAATGAGTTATAGGGTCTCAATAGGCTGGAATGTTTATCACTGGACTGTAAGAGGTTGAGGGGAATAGCAGGTGTCTTTTCCCTACAATTGGGGATTTCAATATTAGTGGGCATATTTTTAAGGTGAGAGGGGATAGATTTAAAAAGAACATGTGGGGTAACTTTTTTTTTTTTATACAGTGTGTGGAATGAACTTCCAGAGGAAGTGGTGGATATGGATACAGTTACAACAATTAAAAGGCATTTTGGGTAAGTACAGGTTTGGAGGGATATGGGCCAAGCACATCTACATGGGACTAGTATAGTTTGGGATTATGGTCAATCTGGACCGGTTGGACCAAAGACTCCTGTTTCTGTGCTGTATGACTATTTCATCAATGACCTTCCATCATGAGGTCAGAAGTGGAGAATGTTTGCTGATTGCATAATGTTCAGTATCATTCGTGACTTTTGGAGATTGATTTTTTTTTTTAAAATCCAATATTCTGGCTCTTTTGCTTAAATTCCTTAAGTGAAATGATAGCACTGTTGACAATCCCTTCTATCAACTGGCACTTAATTACAAAACAATAATCCACTCACTAACATTCAGTTTGAGTTGTCGGGTCAGTGTCTATCAAGGTGCACTGCAGCAACTCGACCAGTTCTTCCAACAACGCGTTCCAAACTGTGACCTCCACCACCTACAAGGACAAAGGTAGCAGATACATGGGAACACCACCTGCAAGGTTCTTCCAAGCACACCACCTCCTGATGTGGAAATATAATCACCACTCCTTCAATGTTGTTGGGAAAAATTTGGAACTCCATAATGGCCTTGTGTATAGCTCTACCCCAAGGACAGCAAGAATTAAAGACACTTGCCACCATTTGCCATTAGGGATAGGTAATAAATACTGGCCCTTCTTGTGACATCCACATCCCATGAATGTTTTTTTTTTAAAAAACTCTTGTTTTAAAATACCCCTTAAAAGCTTTCTCTTTGATTACCTTTTGACCAGCTGTGATAGCAGTGTTTTTAACTTTCTAATGCTACTTTAAATACTTAGGGACATTTTAGTTTGTTAAAGCCGCTGTTAAATTGTTTTTGGGGTCTTCCAAAAAAAAAGACACCCCAACTCGTATAACCTATATTCAGTAAAGTTACCATTATCTGGATCCAGGGATTTTCCTCGTATTAGCAATGGAAGGTAATGATGGATTAGATGCTTACTTAAAAGATAGTTCTAAAAAGTTACCTTAAAGGTGGAATCACTTATTACATCCAGATAGCAGATTTAGCTAACTGACACGCCAATTCCCTTGGCAGGCCAGAGATTATTATATAATGTCAATGAACAAATCAAAATTAACATTTCACATGCACTTATTTAATAAATTTAATCAACCATGGAGTTACCTTTTCATCTACCACAAAACTGTACGATACAGGAAAAGCATACAAGATATTTCCCTGGAGCCAGCAGCAAAAAGAAACATGTTTCACAACAATACAGTATCATTTAAGCTTGAAAAATAAATGAAGTTTATTGAATAAAAGTCTGCAAAGTGAGAATATTAAAGTAAACAATTTTTGCAGCTTTAGTGATACAAAACACTCATTTGTTTATCTAAACAGTTATGGAGGGTTCTGTTAGCTCAGTTGGTGAAATGACTGGTTTATGATATAGTGACCCCAACAATGCAGATTCAATTCCAACACTGGCTGAGGTTATTATGAAGCTCCCACATTCCTAACTTCTCCCTTTCTTTGAGGTCTGGTGTCCCCCAGGTTAAACCACCACCTATTGTCTTGCTTTAATGAGAGAGAGAGCAAGCAGATTGATAGCTGGGTTGGACTATGGCAACTTTACCTTATGAATCTTACCAGCCATGAAGAGTTAGAGGGACCAGGAGCAAAAGTCAATTCCAAATCTCCTGATGATGCCCAATTGCCTACATTCTCAAACTTACTGTAGACCAATGAAAAAGGCAACCTCAGAGTGCTGTCCAATTAACGACAGAGGTTGGCCAGTCACCCAGATGTTTTGCCAGCAGCTCCAATGAAAGTAGTAGGCACTGCAGCAACAGGCAGAATATGAGCACTCCTTAAGGTGGAGACATCTGTAGATGGCATACAGAATCATTAAGATTATGTGGGGCTTCAGCTGCAAGGCTTTCTTTACGGAGAAGGATTCCCTCCACAGCACTACCTGCAGGTGTGGCATGCAAGGGATCAAAGGGATTGTCACTGAAAGTCCTCCAAGGATTTGCCAGTCTCTACCTGTGGTGCTGCAATCTGTTTGCCACTAATCTGTTACCCATCATCACTTCTATTACTCACATCTGGCAAGATCACATCACAGCAGGAAAAAATCATCTCACTGACCTGATAGCAACCTTTCAGATTTCCTACCTAGCCCCACCTCCTCAAAATTCCACCTAATTTTCCCTTCCGTAGTAGTAGCAAGGACAAATAATTGAGTGGGTTAACATAACCGAGATCATCTCAGCAATAAATTCCTGGCAAAAAGGTCCATGGGAAACCATCACCGCCCTATTAATACAGGTCCTTAAGAATCAATTAATAGCTCTATATCTTCTTCCTTGGCTCAGTGTTCATTTTTCCTTATGCCTGTAAAATGCCAGTAGGTGTACTATTATGAAAAAGGGATGTCAGAAATGCTAATTGTCGTTCATTACTCTGCATAAAAACAGAAACTCAAACAGAAAATACAATTAAACATAATGGTCAGATTCCAAATGGTCATGCAAGGCTTTAATTGTAAGAACGGTGCTTTAGAGCTGTTTAGTCAATTTCAAAATTCTCTACAGGATTTTATTCAAGAAAATAAACTTAAACAGGTCAACATTCAGGCGTATTAATAAACTTGATTGAAAGGAGGAATAAAAAGGCAAATTTGAAAAATTGAGGAAAGGTAAAATTTACTTCACAGCTCTCGTAGGCAACGTCTGCAAAAATGGCAGAAGGTCTAAGCTGAACCATTAAGTAGCAACAAAGGTGGAACTGCTAAAATAACCACAGACATAATGAATTAAAATTTAAAACCCCTGAGAAGTTGCCAATTAGTCAACAAGGTATCAATAAAAGGTTAGCAAAGACCCAAAAGACTATTTAAATGAACTTATCCAAATAAAGTTTTACATATTTGAAATACAGTCACTTGTTACAAATAAGTAAATGTAAAGAATATCAATTGAAATCCATTTCTTAACACCTGCAACGGTGCAATTTTATATGCCTCCTCCAACGATAACACATTAACATGTATGACAAAGTAATGCACTTATACATAGATTCAGAAGGTTCCATCATCAAATTACTTGACGGGTAATATCACAGCTGGCCTCCTTTCTTCTTCTGTTTTTTCGTGTTTTTGTTTTTTTGTACTATTTTTCTTGTTGATATTTGTGGTATTTCTTCAGAATTTATTTTTCTAAAGGATAAAATAAAAACATTAGATCATCAACTTCAGTAATTAACTCAAGTGTGTTACTGACTTACAGATTTCATCTACATCTACCTTACTTAACCCCTTTATAATTTTAAAAACCTCTCTATGATCACCTCTTAATGTTGCCTTTTATAGAGAAAGAGAGCCCCACCCTGGTCAGTCTTGGTCACTTTAGCCACTCAGTTTTAGTCTCATCTTCATAAATGGTCTTTTGCACTCTCTCCAGTATTTCTATACCCTTTTTATAAAACATGCAAACCAGAAATAAGCATACCACTACAACCATGGTCTAAATCAAGGTTCTATACAAGCTTAACATTTAAATTTTCTGCTTCGGAATTCAGTTCCTCTATGGACCCTAATGTTATGTTTGTACATTTCATAGCTTTGTTAATCCACATGACTATTTTTCATCACTTCTGGATCTGTACCCTTAGATTTCTTTTACAGTTGAATTCATAGCTGCATGCAGGAAATTCCTTAGATGGCTTAATGGACTCGTTTGCACTCAACCTCTGAAACGGAGCAGTCAAATGAGCTCCCTCTCCTTGAAGTCGTAGTTAAGTAAAGGGGCAGGTTCTGTATTACAGTCTGCCAGAAACCCATCACCACAAACCTATACACATTGGGTTCCTGCATGTCCATGTGTTATCAGTTGGCCTTATTGGCAACCTTGTAAGTAGGACCTGAGTCATTTGTTTACTGTGCAAGCCCGATGATGTTGAAATAGGGCTCAAAGTCATCCTGCGGGATAGTGGCTGGCCTGATCAGATCATTTCTCACTGTGTATTGTGCAAACTTACAAACAGGCCTACCATCACTTCTAGAGCTGTAAAGTACCCAGTCTACCCCAGATTACCTTAGAAAGTTAAAGGTATCCCAAACACTTGAATAACAGCAAAAGCTATCTGTTTCAATGTGCTGCTATGCAGAAGCAACATGGACTTAAGGACACTGCTATCAAGACAAGAGGCTGTTCTGCCCATCATACAAATGAATGATATGGTATATGATTTTCAGTGCCAGTGTAATGCCAGGTATGTGGGCCCTACATCAAAACAACTGACCATTTGTATGAAATGGCATATCCCTTTGGGTAATTCAGACAAGCAAGGTACTGACTGTTTCCAACCAGCCTGTGATATTATCCAGTAATGGAATCACATTTATTATGTAACCCCGAATACGCCAGGAATTGCATTTGCAACTAATTTAAGTCAAGCTCACAGTGTAGCACACTTATGTATACTGGAAGCTACACACAAGAAACAGAAGCCTGCTTTTTGCGGACAGAAAGAACATGTACGTATATTGTGTTTGTTTCAACTCAACAAAGTAGGTGTCATTTTTTCTAAGGTTCTTTTCTCAGAACAATGCCGTGACCAAAACCAGTCAAATCTTGGCAGTTATTGAGTCATAGAGCTGTACAACATGGAAACAGACCCTTCGGTCCAACTCATCCATGCCAACCAGATATCCTAAATTAATCTAGACTCACTTGCCAGTACATGACCCATATCTCCAAACCGTTCCCATGCAGAAACCCATCCAGATGCTTTTTAAATGTTGCAATTGTACCAGCTTCCACCATTTTCTCTGGTAGTTCATTCCATACGCACACCACCCTCTGCATGAAAAAGTCACCCCTTATGTCCATTTTAAATCATTCCCCTCTCACCATAAACCTATGGCCTCTAGTTTTGAACTTCCCTACCCTGGAGGAAACACCTTGACTCTTCCCCTATCCAAGCCCCTCATGATTTTATAAACCTCTATAAGGTCACCCCTCAGCCTCCGACACTCCAGAGAAAATAGCCCCAGTCTATTCAGCCTCTCCCTATAGCTCAAACCCTCCAACCCTGGCAACATTCAAGTTTAACAACATCCTTGCTTGACTGTCAGTTATCATTAACTGGTGAATTTTCCATGTCAACCAATCAGCATGTTTTCTCATACAAACATGGTTTTCCTTTACAGCAGTACTTCTTTGCAAGCTGTCCCAATAAGTGCAAGATGGAAAACTTTGACAAGATACATCTTTTTTGGAAATACTCATTCCTTTGTGCTAACACGTTTAGACTCATCTTCCAAGGATTAGGTGGCTCCTTATTTAGTTTATTAAAATATACCACCTCAAACTTCTGTTTTGAATAACATTGCTACTTACATAGCCACTTGGCAAGATTAATTAATGACTTGTGTTTTGGCACATTCTTCCTCAGTATTAATTATAATAATCAATTTATCATCAGTCTCAAATCTTGATAGTATGTATCTGATCCCAGAATCCAAATTGTTTATTTAAGTATTGATTAATAGTAGTTCCAACATCAGCAGCGGTTCAACTGAAGGCACTCATCTCAATTTACAAGATTACGAATTTGAATACCCTTCCAAAAATCAGAACATAAAATTCAGGTTAACACTCCTGCACATTATTGAGGGAATGCTGCACCGTTGGAGATGCCATCTTTTATAGATGATATTAAATCAAGGTCCTGTCTTCTTCCTAAGGTAAGCATATTGTGGCACTATTTTGAAGAACAGCAGTGGAGATGTTCCCAATGTCATAAACTCAAAATTACAGTGCAGATACAGGCCTTTCAGCCCATTGAGTTTGCACCAGCCCTCCAAAGAACATCCCACCCCTGTAACCCTGCATTTACTAATCCACTTAGCCTGCACACCCCTAGACACTACAGGGCAATTTAGCATGGTCAATCCACCCAACCTGTACATCTTTCCCAGAGCATCCAGCAGAAACCCATGCCGACATGGAGTGAACGTGCAAACAGATACTCATCCAAGATTGGAATCAAACCTGGGTCCCTGGTGCTGTGAGGCAGCAGTGCTAACCACTGAGCCACCATTTTGCCCTTAATCCTAGATTTATACAATGGTTACACAGCACAGAAGCTGGTCATTTCACTCTGTCTGGTCTGCAGCAGCTCTCTGCAACAGCATGTCACCTAGTACCAATCACCAGCCTTTATCCTGTAGCCCTGGAATTTTTTTCTTTAAATGATTATTCAATTCTCTTTTTCTTAAAAAAAAGACCTCTATTAAATCTGCCCCCAAAACACACCAGTTGTACATTCTAAATTCTAACCACTCTGAAAAAAGCTATCCTTCATGTTGCCGTTGCTTCTTTGGCCCATCATCTTAATTTGGTGTTTTTTGCAGCTCTATTTCTCTCCCAACAAGTACAGCCTTTTTCTTATCTACTCTGTCCAGGTGCTTCATGATTTTCAACACAGGCCAATATTTATCCTTCTTTTAATATCACACAGACAGATCTGATTATAATCACGTTAGTGTTTGACTGAGTTTTCTGTAAGGAAATTGGCTAACAGTTTTCATTTATTATAAGAATGACTACATCTTAAAAATAATGTCAACGTCCTGAAAGTGACAGTTAGAGCCATAGCACTGTAGTCGCTACACAAGTGAAGCCTGCCTTCTTTTCCCATTACTTGTGCCACCTAACACCAGTTTAACTATAGTTAGCCCCTAAATTATTTGTTTTATTTCTGGTAGTTTGAGATATTCAACCTTTTGCTGGTCTCCTACCTCCACATGCGCTGATTTGAGTCATGAATCTATCAAACGCCTTGTGAAAATTCATGAATATCATATCCAATGCATTATCCTTGTCTATTTGTTATTTCAAATAATTCAATAAGGTTGAAGCACAATCTACCCTTTTGAAATCCATGCTAAATATTCTTTGATAACAAGGTGTAGAGCTGGATGAACACAGCAGGCCAAGCAGCATCAGAGGAGCAGGAAAGCTGACGTTTCGGGCCGAAACGTCAGCTTTCCTGCTCGGCCTGCTGTGTTCATCCAGCTCTACACCTTGTTATCTCAGATTCTCCAGCATCTGCAGTTCCTACTATCTCTAAACATTCTTTATTACCTTTTCAGTTTCTAGTTGATTTTCTATGGCAGCAATTGAGTCAGGTAAGTTAATACAAATCTTGGTATGTGCAACAAGAACACTGGTCCCAATAACTTAATGGTGGGAAAGCAAAAAAATGCTAAAATGGGCAATGTTAAATGTTCAATGCCTGTACATGCCTGTTCCCTTAGCTTCAATGTTACACATCTTTTTACACACTTATGGTGTGTATTATTGGTTAGTTTGACCTTGTTTTATTTCAAAGTGAAATACATTTCTCTGAATTCTAATCACTTCTTTAAAACATTTCCTGTCATTGTTCCCTCTCTTTGTAATACAATATTTTGCTTCTCAGTTTACGTTCCCAAGTTCCATCCTCACCTTTATAATTAATTTTTTACCTACCACTGGGATCTTGATCCCATTCTGAATCAGGTGAAGCTATTTCAGAAATACAGCTTCTTCCAGTATCAGTATCCAATGGAGTGAACCATTTGTTCATTCACCAATATTAATATCACATTGTGGCACAGATCTTGCAGTACCAACAGTGTGAAATTCTGAGAAATTCACCAGAGGATCTCAACAGGACCTGACCTCCAGAGATCCTAATTATGCTCAAATCAGGAATTTGCAGCATATCCAAGTAGGCTCCATAACAGTCCATGTTTAATTATTCCACTGAGAATTGTCATGCAGGAACTTGGGCTGATACAAAATACTGGTATTACTGCTGGCCAATGATTTATTTAGGGCTTCTCGCATAGTCCTTTAAAAATCAATGGGAGGTTCTTCAGGCAGTCCCAGTCCCTTCCCATGCTCTCCCAACAGCTCCATTATGACTACCACATTTCTGTCCCAAATTGACAGTCCCATTGATGTTGCAAACAGCAGGGAAAAATCTCTCAGGTTTTGCTTCTGACAATGATGGAGTGGAGGTACTGGGGGCTATAATTAAAATTCTGATCCAATAAAAAAATTAAAATTATTACAACTAAAACATAGATAACAAGGTGTGGAGCTGGATGAACACAGCATGCCAAGCAGCATCAGAGGAGCAAGAAAGCTGACGTTTAGGGTCTAGACCCTCCTCTGATGCTGCTTGACCTGCTGTGTTCATCCAGCTCTACACCTTGTTATTTCAAATTCTCCAGCATCGGCAGTTCCTACTATCTCTAACAACTAAAACATACTTCCCTGTTAGTGAGTTGAAAACAAACCTCAGGCACTTCCAGCTTGTGCATCAAAAGATGAAGTAGCTTCACTGCTCATCTCAAAGTGCAGCTATTAGTTCTTTTGGTCAACGATAATTAGCATGTGGCCAGCATAACAATTTCTAGATTTTTAATGTAGTTCCAACTCCTGCTGTAGCTTAGTAAGGCCTTCTCCCCTGTCGTCTCCATGTTATTGACATAGACCATTATATTTCGATATTTCCTCTCCTCTTCCAAGTTCTTTCTAGGTATCCTTAATCCTGCATAAAGTGGTAAACACTCTCCTATACTCTCTCTTGCCACTGCACAGGATACTATCACTGTAAATGTCAAATCCTCTGACTACAACCTATTTGTAGTTTGCCCCTCCCTCTTGAACTCTCTTCTAATCCATACTTAGCATCCTCCTGCAGTCTTCATCTTCAACTCCACAGCAACATTGCATCCTACCCATTGGATAGCACCAAAAACTGTAGCACTTTCTTCTCTGCCTCTGCTGAGATCTTCTTATCCTCTTAATTGGCAGACATATTCCATTTCCTGTGTTTTTCTACAAGGTATAACTCTGGATTAATCCATCCAGACATCCCTTTCATCCCTTTGCTTCAGAGTAATGCAACATAACCAATGCAAGCTAGTGTGTTAAGGCAAAATTATATCCCACAGGTATAGTATTTTGAAACAGTTTCACGTTCCACATCCAGCAGTTTTGAAATAGTACCTATGCAGCCAAATCTAATCTTCACTAGAAGTAGCATACCTCTAAAGCTAACAAAGCCCTTCAGATCTAGATTATATTTCCCACCGTTCAAAGACGTGCAGATTAGGTGCATTTGCCATGCAAAATTACCCAGTGTCCAGGGATGTGGTGGGTTAGCCATGGGAATTGCAGGGATAGGGTAAGGGGATAAGTCTGGATGGGATGCTCTTTGGATAGTTGGTGTGGACTTGTTGGGCCACATGGCCTTATTCCACTCTGTAGGGATTCTGTGAAAGTAAGCCATGATATTTTTAAACAATTTATTATTACACTGCACAAATAGTCACCAAGGAATTTTGGTGGAGTGGTGGTGGCGGCATGTATGCGTGTGTGAATCAAGTACAATGTCAGTGGAGAAAATGGAACACCATTCTACTTCTTTGCATTCAAACAGGGCATAGTTCACCAATGTAGACTTAACCACAGCAACTTTGTGCCAGAAATTTCAAGAATCAAATATCCATGTTTTTAAAATATCTTGTGCCCCATTTGCCCACATCAGTTATGCTTTTGTTATTTTGTAATTTAAAGTAGATTCAGAAATTTGAGAGTTGATAATGTTACAAAAGGGTGCTGCACTCATCTGTGTAATAAAAGGGGGCACATTAAAATAAACACTTATGGAAGTCTGACAGACAGTGTATATATTGGCTGAAATTTTTAATCCTGGGTCAAAGACCTGGCTGGTAGTTCAGTTCCAGCTCCTGGCACTGCACAGTGAGTTTCAAACTTGTCCATCAAGATTATTCAAGGGTCAGGCAGACTGTGGGCTTCCCAGCTTGAGGCTGAAGGGTCAATGAAATGTCCTCCAGCACTGGGAGTTGCTAATTCATGATGGTGGAAAGAGAAGGCACATTAACATGGAAATACAATGTACAATGGAGGTCAAGTTGTTTTTAAAATTTCATGCAACCACAGCGGCTTGGCCATGATCTTGTCAGATCAATTCGTCCAGGACAGAGCCATCTGCAGCAGGGGCAACCAGGCAGAAATTATGGGTTGGGAGTTCCAATGTGCGATCGATCACATTCCTGGAACCCGCCACTTCACTCCCAACCCTAAGCTAACCATTGTCAGCATTTGCCAGCCAAAAGTCTCAGTTGGCACAGAAACGATGAGCCTGACTTAACTGCCAACCGGCTTTAAATTTTAAATAAAGTTTCAAATAATTCATTTAACAGGTTTTGCAACCCACCTTCCTTTCTTTTCTGTCCCTTCTGGTTCCAGTATTATAATTTCTTCCTCTTCACTATCTGAAAGTTGGATAACCTCAGCTATATAAAAAGAAAATGAATAGTTAGCAAGTCTTCAATGCTAAACTGAACATTAAACAACACAGATGCGCCATATTTACCATCTGTATGCATGTTTGCTCTTTCATTATCATTTCGCAAACTCTGGGCACCTGGTTCAGGAACAATATCCTCTTCATCATCTTCTTCCTCTTCCTCTAGATCATCGATCATCCATTCATTTTGGATCCCTTCCCCAATTTGACCTGTTCCAGGAGCACGCACAATTGGTTTTGGAATACTGTTTCTAGTTAAGAAAAACATTACCCGAGCAGCATAAAACCTTTATGAAAAAGGAAACATGTATATTATACTTTCACAAAAAAAATATTAATTGCTACTACTGATGGGCACTCAAGGTTTGAGTACATTGAAGTTATTACACAGTAGTTTGCCAATGTAGTCTTGGTTCACTATTTTTGTAGTTTTGTAATCCAGAAACAATCACATTGTGCCCTCATTTCCTATATTACTTCCGTAGCCTTCTGCCATGTTACCCTTCTTTGCTAGTGGTGTGTACCTATATATATATATATCTAATAAGCCTAGTGTTTACAATTATGATACACTTGCATATGATGCTAGAATTAAAATATCAAGATCTGAGATATCCATTGACATTCCCTATACTTGGACTCATTTTTAAAAAGTCATATTGGACTTAAAACATTAATCCCATTTCTTTCTCCACAAATGCTGCCAGACTCACTCCACAACTTGGAGATTTTATGCCTTGTACAAAAGATGCTTAATTACCTTGTCATTGTTGTCTATCTAACTATGCTTTTAAAAGTCAGTGCATTTTTCATCCAATTGAGGATCTCCCATTTGTTGATATCTAATTGTTGCATTTCTTGAGGGAAGCCTTCAGGTAGTCTGAAATGTTTCCTTTGTCCTACTCTCATTTAAGTGCCTTTCTTGAGCTGGGTGATGAAAATTTGCTTTGGCTGTCAGAAATCAGGCATCTTAAGCATGCAACTGGACCACCAGCGAAGTTGGTTTTGAATGACCATGGCCTTTGATGCTACTGTTAATGGCTGCTTCAAGGACACTGATGTTAGTATGCCTGTCATCCCAGCTGGTGCTGAGAATCCTTCTCAAACAGCATTGATGGTATTTCAAGAGCTTTGAAGTGGTGTCTATACATAGTCCAAGTTTTGGAGCCATATAGAAGAGTCAAAGGATGCTTACCTTATACGAAGGATGTCACTGTCGAAGACTCTTATCCTCAGGTATCTGAAGGCAGTACTTGCAGATTCAATGCGATGTTGAAACTCCGCACCGATATCAGCCTTAGATGAGAGGTAGCTTCCTAGGTAGGAGAAAATGTTTCACATTTGGGAGGATTTCTTGATTTTAATGGAGAGATGGGCTGGAACTTGACCTAGCACAGCTTAATAGAGGATTTGATTCTTCTTGAGGTTGAGGCTGAGACTGAGACCAATTCTTTGGTATGCTTCTCTGAAGATGTTCAGACAGCCTTGAGGATCTACTTCTGAGTACGTCATCCACATACTGAAGTTCCACAAATGAGGTCAATGTCGTTTTCTTTTTGGATTTCAACTGGTCAAGTTTGACAAGTTTTCCGTCCATCCAGTAAACAATGTCCAAACCATTGCGAAACTTGTTCTTGAGAATAGGGGTGATGAAGTTGGAGAAAACCGGGGAGGGTGATGACAGATACCTGCTTGACCCGTATCTTGACCTAAAAAAAAAAAGATTTTCTCATATTATCATTGGTAAGAACCAGTGGAGGGGATTTAGAGGATGTTGATGAATTTCTCTGGACAGCCAACCTTTGACAGCGTCTTCCATAATACTTTCCCACTGTCTGAGTTAAAAGTCCCGGTTGGATCAATAAAGATCATGTTTTATTTTCTGCCACTTCTCTTGGGAGTTGCTAAACAGTGGAACTACTGAGAGTGTACTATGAGACAGTAGTATCTGCTAGTGCTGGAGTCTGAGATAACAAGGTGTGGAGCTGGATGAACACCGCAGGCCAGGCAGCATCAGAGGAGCCGGAAAGCTGACGTTTCGGGTCTGGACCCTTCTTCAGAAAAAAAGATAATCTCAAAGATGCACTTGAGATGTCACGATGTCTTCAAGGATCTGCTCTAAATGCAAGTAACAGTGTTTTATAGTATAGAACCAGGCCATTCTATTCAACAAGTCTCTGTCAGTGCAGATGTTCCACAAGAGCATCATTTCATCTTATTTCACACTACTCTTCAGTCACAACTACAAATTGCTTGTCAATAGTTAGATATGACAAAATTATTAGTGGTGGTTCAGTTGGTACCAATTCCATGACAAAATCAGAAGCTTGTGGATCCAAATCCCATTCTGACAATTTGAATCTAAAACTTCACATTGACACTCAAGTGCAGTACCGAGGAAGTGTTATACCATCTTTAGATGCAGTCTTTCAGATGAAATGTTAAACCAAGGAATGTAAAAGAAACCATTGAACTCACTTGAAGAAATGCCAGAGTTATTCTGATGTCCTGGCTAATATTCTTCAGTTAACCTGATTTAAAGAAACATCATCTGGTAGTTACTACATTGCTCTTGTGGGATGTTGCTGTATGTAAACTGACTTTGTTTGCTGCATTACAACAATAACTACACCTTTTTATAGCCCTTTGGGATGAATCAAGGTTGTGAAAACTGCTGTATAAATGCAAGTTGGCCTTCAGCTTTTTTCCCTTATTCAAATACAGTGGTGGACTTTGCAAATTTGCTTTTTGTTGCTCTAGAACATTGTAGGCAATATCCTATCATGTTTGGTGCATGCAAACTCATGTTAGAAATCAAAGGTTTAAACAAGGATTTGATTCAGAGTTTTAACATGATGGCAACAAATGATTAGCTTGAACCATTAAAATGTAAACATTGAAGCTCATTCCAAAACAGATAAGATTTTTTTAGCAAATTAATCTTTAGCTTTAAGTTAATACAAGTAACCAGGCTATTAAGCAAAAGATACTGTAGTGTGGATGGTTCAGCCTTTGATACAATCTCTTCAACTTGCTCTTCAACACCGTCTGTATCCACTGGAGTTTCATCTAGCTTAAAGGCAGTGATTCGTTTATTTGGTATGGATTCTGCAAAACCAAACTTCCCACCTTCTTTCCTGCCCAATGCAAAATTTACAGATAATTTATTAAGCTTTTGCATAAAATCTTAGCAATTGAGTTTACAACTGTTATGAATAAGTTTGCTTAAGCTTTGTTTTACAACTTGATATCCACCATTTTCTGGAGGGCAGCCAGGACACTCCAGTACACTATTTGAAATTCCAGCAGACTTCCATCAGTCTCCTGCTGGAACTTCAAAATCCATCAGAAAACAGCAGAAAACCTGAACTATCATTTCCAGGAGTATTATATTCCAAAACAAAAATGAACTTGACTGGTGGGGACCTCTTATACAGGAAGTTTCTACTCATTAAGACATTGGAACGTACTATAATACTGAAGTCTGGTATACATGCCAGAACTTTTCAAAAAAAACAAATTGTTGGGTTTTTGCCCATTGCAAGAACCATGTGCAAGAATTTACAACAGTTGAGGCCACATGTGGCAGCGTATAAACTAATGATGCAAGTGAAGATATATGAAGAGTTGTTTTTTTTAAAATGACTGATACATGGAACTTTGGAGGCCTGGGTTTTCACTGGAGTTGGGACGGACATGAGAGCCTAAAAACATATTAGGTGGGTCCCAACTGCAGGATTCCTCAGGAATATGCAATTTTCGGGAGTGCCTTTTAAGGCCATGACCTGGTTCAGGTTGAAATCCCACACGTGGCACTACCAACCTAGTTGGCTCCATTGTGAATACAGGCATGGTCTAGCCCTCATCAATTTTTATGAAGTCAGGCCAGCTTTTAAAAGTTGTGATTCATGAGGATTTATATACTTGCTGGTAAAGTCCTGAGGAGCGTGGCTGAAAAGAGATCTTGCAGTGCAGGTTCATAGTTCCTTGAAAGTGAAGGCACAGGCAGATAGGACAGTGAAGGCGGCATTTGGTATGCTGCCTTTATTGGTCAGTGCATTGAGTATAGGATTTGCAAGGTCATGTTATGGCTGTACAAGACATTGAGTCAGCCACTTTTGGAGTATTGCGTACAATTCTGGTCCCCCTCCTATAGGGATAATGTCGTGAAACTAGAAAGGGTTCAGAAAAGATTTACAAGGATATTGGAGGGTTTGAGCTATAGAGAGAGGGTGAATAGGTTGGGGCTATTTTCCCAGGAGTGTCGAAGACTGAGGGGTGACCTTATAGATGTTTATAAAAATTATGAGGGGCATGAATAGGGTAAATAGACAAGGTCTTTTCCCCAGGATGGGCAAGTCCAAAATTAGACAGCATAGGTTTAAGCCGAGATGGGAATGATACAAAAAGGATGTAAGGGGTAACTCTTTCACGCAGAGGGTAGTGCATGTATAGAATGACTTGCCAGAGGGAGTGGTGGAGGCTGGTATGATTACAACATTTAAAAGGCATCTGGATGGGTATATGAAAAGGAAGGGTTCAAAAGGATTTGGGCCAAATGCTGGCAAATGGGACTAGATTTATATAGGATATCCAGTTGGCATGGACAGGTTGGACCGAAAGGTCTGTTTCCGTACTGTATATCTCTGTGACTCAATGACACCTCAAGAGTTGTCATGAGTTATAACTCTGCATGATGGCATCTTTTGAAAGGCCTGTTCTAAAAAAGGTTCCCTTACCCAACCCCATCCCCAAGCAAGTCAAGATGTGCCCCTCTTCCCACTGATCCACTTCATTCACCCTATAAAAGCATATGAACCCTATAGTGCAACTTGGATGAGTGAAAAAAGCTTTTTAAAATTTCATAAGTTTCTGCTATGTTTACAAAAATGACTTGTTATTACAGGTCCATCATCTAGACCTCAAAGATTTAAAAGCTAAAACTGCAAAGCACTTTAATTCACCGAATGTTGAAGAAATAAATTGTGAAGGTGACAGCGAACAGAGCCAGAGTTGTCAATCAAGTAAGGGCTCAGGTTATTTAAGAGTCTAATGGTTCTCTGGGCTCATTCAAAAATACAGAATAAGGCCATTTAAACAGCCTGCCCAGTAGCACGCAACCCTTCGAGTCTGCATCCAAATATTATCCAAGATCCAGCTTGTCTGAATGCAGCCATTAACCCATCCTCAGCAATGAATGTCCCATCCTCTAAGCACTTTCTTCTGAAGCAGATAGACTGAGCTGGGAAATTTTTCAACTCCCATTCGCTAAGTTGAGGATAAAAACCTTGTCCTGACTCAGCCTATTCACAGATCATTGGAGTTCCAATCCAAAAAATATTTTTTTTCAAAACAGCATTTTTCACAAAACACATTGAATTAAGAGTTTAAACACAAACTTGCCTGACTTTCTTATCATTTTCAAGAGCTTTTTGCATCAACTCTGTGATTTCTGCCACCTTCACACCAGCTATTTTAGTACAACGGAGAACCTAAAATAAAATGATAAGGTTATTGCTGTTCCTTGTTCCCATTTCTCCTGGAAATGTTGACTTTTGTAGGAGTCCACAGCAGCTCACCATTACCTCATCCAATTAATTATTCTTTTCATGGTATCCCAGATAGCGTATATCACTATAAAGGGCATCAAAGCTGAGATTTAACACGTCCTATCATTCATATAGCCATTATATATAGTTGATTTATATAAATAGAAAAAGTGTTATAAATAGAAGATACTCAAGCAGACATTGCAACAATCTGTAGGGTCTTTAAAGTAGTAAAATGTCTTAGGATTTCTATAGAAGTGAGGAGATAATCAAGATCAAGCTTTTAGTCATTTGCCCCAAGGAGCCTCTTAACCAGGAAAGAGGTTGTGAAGCCAAGGGGTTTGGGGAATTAACACATAGCTTAGGAAAGCAAAACGATGAGCGGTGGAGCAGTTAAAAATAGGGAATTTATAAAGAGGTTAGAAGAGAAGTATGGAGATCCTAAGAGGTTGTAGGGCTTGAAGGGTTCTAGACATGGGGAGCACGCAAGACCTTGGAAGAATCTGAATAGGGCTAAAATTTTAAAAATTGAGACATTGCTCAAGCAAGATGACAGACATGCCAATGCCTCAGCACCATCCTCAGAACATGGGTTCAGAACCACAATACTTAACTGACTGACCATCAAGGATGAACTAATGGTCTTAGCTCCACTTTGCATTAGACCTCATCACCACTTCATTCCACACCTTTCACTATGACAAACTCTTCCCTCCTCCCACCACATGTTCCTCTAGAGACCACAAAAGCAGGGAAGAAAATGGCTCGCAAAAGCTGGGCACAGCCAGACCAGAGAGAGTGTGTGTGTGTGTGTGTGTGTGTGTGTGTGTGTGTGTGTGTGTGTGTGTGTGTGTGTGTGTGTGTGTGTGTGTGTGTGTGTTTAGGGAGTAACTGTCTATTTCAGCTACATTTATGGCAATACAGTAATCTTGTATTACAATGTTGCCAATCAGCTATTTCCTAGCCTTTTCATGCCATGCAGACAGTTGTCATCTCTCTATCCTTAGGCATATCTGACATTTCTGACTTTGAGAATCAGATTTGAATAGGGTCAATAATAATTAAGACCTATAGTTGTGCCACCCACTGGGACAGACAGGAAGTTGAGAGGGGTGAATCACAGAACATGAGCAATAGGAAGTGAAGGTGAAAGGACTGTCCACAAAATGACTCGCTGGCAGGCAAGTTTGGCTCCGAACTCTGGTAGGGAGGGCAGAAATGCCAATTCTACAGGCCCAACCTTCCAAAGAAAAATGTTTACTGCACATCAACAACAGTCAAGAAGTACTTTAATGTCTGACAACAGTGTCAGAATGTGTTTTGAGCTGAGTCTATTTTCAAATTATATGGCATTTTGTTGCAAAGCATCAATACTTTACAGTCTACCACTGAATGTGTGAAAATAATAAACTTATGGAAACTAGAGTTACTCTTAACCAAGAATCTGTTACATAAGTTCTTCAAAAAGAAAAGAAATATATTTTTAAAAATCCAGCAGGCCTCACCATGCAACCTAATGCCCTCTAACTATTGCCCAATGCACCTTATATCCCAACTTAGTTCTGACTGTCCACCCACCCTTCCCCCTTCACCTACCATGCCAAATTATTGAGTATCCACATGTACACTTTCATACAGAAAATATAGTTATACTACTCATTTTTATATTGCAGGCTACACTTCATTGACAAGAACATACTCAAAGACCCATTTAGATACTTATTGACAGGTCTTGAAAAATTGAATAGTTCCAAGGATGTATGCACCTTTTATCTCAATAGTTACAGTCCTAAAGGACACCTAACAACAACTCCCAAGCAAGGATCCCTGAACCTACCCCCAAGGCGCATATATGTATTTCAGCTCTCCAAAGGGTACCCTAGCTTTCCAAAAGAAATACACTGAGGACACACTTGTCCTTATCTGGTCTAATCTCCACACTCTAGGCATTCCAAAATCCTATTTCTTTGGAGGCAACTGGCCATTTAAATTGCCAGCTGCCCCTGGGAACCGTATATGGGGGTAATACAGCCCACCTCTGCAAAAATGAAAAATGCTAGTTTCAGGGTGAGGACTTGCAAATCTAATGCCTTCTGGCATCTGCACCATTGCAGATGCTCTCCATTACAATGGAAAACTGGGCCAATGCATCCTAAATAAGGTTGGTGAACAGTTGGCACAAACACACACATGGAAACGTGATGAAATAATGGATGTCTAGTTCCAAATTGTTTTTAAAAACAGTCGTGATTAGATATTAAATATTTCTGGAAAGGGCTTGGGAAAGGTAGAGAAGGAAAGAAAGCACAGTAGCAATATTTTGAGGAGAACATAGCTATTCTGGAGACTGGGCAGGGGTGGCGGTGGGATAGGGATGGTGGTGTTGTTTTTGACATGGAGATAATCTATTTATTCATTCAAGAATATGGGTTTTGTTGGCTAGGCTTGGCCAGCATTTATTGCCCATCTTTAATTGCCCTTGAAGATCTGATGGTGAGTTGTCATCGTCAGTTTTGGGTCAATAGTACACCTCTAGTCAGTCTACAATTTATATCTCTATCAAGAAATAATATGTCATCCCTTTTACCAAGCCCAATGGTTTTAAAATAGTTTTCATAAATGTCAACAGGCAAGATCTTATCTTTGCCCATATAGTAGTAAGGATAGTTTGATTCGTGATAGTCAGCATGGACTTGAGGGGTAGATCATGCCTCACAAACCTTATTGAATTCTTTGAAGAGGTGACCAAACACGTGAATGAAGGTGGAGCAGTGGATGTGGTATACATGGAGTTAAGTAAGGCATTTGATAAGGTTCCCCATGGTAAGCTCGTGCAGAAGGTAAGGAGGCATGGGATAGGGGGAAATGTGGCAGATTGGATTTCAGAATTGGCTGACCCTTAGAAGACAAAGGGTGGTACTGGACGGAAAATATTCAACATGGTGCACAGTTACGAGTGGTGTACCACAAGGATCTGTTCTGGGTCCTCTTCTATTTGTGATTTTTTGTAAATGATTTGGATGAAGGGGTGGAAGGGTGGATTAGCAAATTTGCGGACAATACGAAGGTGGGTCGCGTTGGGGACAGTGCGGAGGTCTGTTCTAGGTTACAAAGGGGCATTGACAGAATGCAGAGCTGGGCTGAGAAGTGGCAGATGGAGTTTAACCCTGAAAAGTGTGAGGTGATTCATTTTGGAAGGACAAACTTGAAAGCAGAATACAGGGTTAACGGAAAGATTCTTGGCGGTGTGGAGGAGCAGAGGGATCTTGGGGTTCATGTTCACACCTCCCTGAAAGCTGCCACCCAAGTGGATAGAGTTGTTAAGAAGGCGTATGGTGTGTTAGCTTTCATTAATAGAGGGATTGAGTTGAAGAGCTATGAAGTTATCCTCCAGCTATACAAAAGCCTGGTTAGCCATATCTGGAGTATTGTGTCCAGTTCTGGTCACCTCATTACAGGAAAGATGTGGAAGCATTGGAAAAAGTGCAGAGGAGATTTACCAGGATTTTGCCTGGAATGGAGGGAAGGTCTTACGAGGAAAGGTTGAGAGCGCTAGGGCTTTTCTCTTTAGAATGACGAAGGATGAGAGGTGACTTGATAGAGGTGTACAAAATGATCAGAGGTATAGACAGAGTAGACAGCCAGAGACTTTTTCCCAGGATGGAGGTAGCTTTTACGAGGGGACGTAGTTTTAAAGTGAAAGGAGGTAGATATCGGGGAGACGTCGAGAAGTAGATTCTTTACTCAGAGAGTGGTAGAGGCGTGGAATGCATTGCCGGAGAGGGTAGTGGATTCAGTCTCGTTAGGGGCATTTAAGCGGCTATTAGATAGGCATATGGATGATAGTATAAGGTAGCGGTGGAGGTTAGATAGACCTTAGGTTTCGGGTAAAAGTTCGGCACAACATCATGGGCCGAAGGGCCTGTACCATGCTGTACCGTTCTATGTTCTATGATAACCCAGCAGCCTTCGTGAAAAGGAAAGATATGAATGTATAACTGGGAGTGATTGCCTACAAACTACATACCCCATCAGGTCTGCCATCCTCCTACTCTTTGATCCGGCTCAGGTAATCAGGATTAGACTATTTAGGGAACAAAGGCCCTTTACACCAGGTTATTTACACCTGGTGAGACCAGACCTTGCAAACTGAACAGATACCACAATTTTTCAAACCTTTTGTTGGCTATCCATGCTTAGGCTGACAAATGGCAAGTAAAATTCATGCCACACGAGTATCAGGCAATGACCATCAAGAAAGAATCCATCACACCTTGACATTCAATGGCATTACCATTGCTGAATTCCCACTATCAACACTTCCCCCTATCCCATGCCTCCTTACCTTCTGCACGAGCCTACCATGGGGAACCTTATCAAATGCCTTACTTAACTCCATGTATACCACATCCACTGCTCGGTCACCTCTTCAAAGAATTCAATAAGGTTTGTGAGGCATGATCTACCCCTCACAAATCCATGCTGACTATCACAAATCAAACTATCCTTACTACTATATGGGCAAAGATAAGATCTTGCCTGTTGACATTTATGAAAACTATTTTAAAACCATTGGGCTTGGTAAAAGGGATGACATATTATTTCTGACAGAGATACAAATTGTAGACTGACTAATAAGAACATAAGAACTAGGAGCAGGAGTAGGCCATCTAGCCCCTCGAGTCTGCCCCGCTATTTAATAAGATCATTGCTGATCTTTTTGAGACTCAGCTCCACTTACCCGCCCACTCACCATAACCCTTAATTCCTTTACTGTTCAAAAATTTATCTAGCCTTGCCTTAAAAACATTCAGCGAGGTAGCTTCAACCGCTTCACTGGACAGGGAATTCCACAGATTCACAACCCTTTGGGTGGTGAAGTTCCTCCTGACCTCAGTCCTACATCTGCTTCCCTTTAGTTTGAGGCTATGCCCTCTAATCCTAATTTCACCTGCTAGCGGAAACAACCTCCCTGCCTCTACCTTATCTATTCCCTTCATAATCTTATATGTTTCTATAAGATCTCCCCTCATTCTTCTGAATTCCAATGAATATAATCCCTTAATCCCAGTCTACTCAGTCTCTCCTCATAATCCAACCCTCTCAACTCTGGAATCAACTGAGTGAACCTCCTCTGCACCCCCTCCAGTGCTAGTATATCTCTTCTCAAGTAAGGAGACCAAAACTGCACACAGTACTCCAGGTGTGGCCTCACTAGGACCCTATACAGCTGCAGCATAGCCTCCCTGTTTTAAACTCCATCCCTCTAGCAATGGCAGACAAAATTCCATTTGCCTTTTTAGTTACCTGCTGCACCTGCAATCCTACTTTTAGCGATTCATGCACAAGGACACTCAAGTCCCTCTGCACAGCAGCGTGCTGCAATTTTTTACCATTTAAAACATAGTCCATTTTCCTGTTATTCCTACCAAAATGGATGACCTCACACTTACCAACATTGTACTCCATCTGCCAGACCTTTGCCCACTCACTTAGACTATCTATATCCCTCTGCAGACTTTGTGTCTTCTGCACACTTTGCTCTACCACTCACCTTAGTGTCATCTGCAAATTTTGACACACCACACTTAGTCCCCAACTCCAAGTCATCTATGTAAATTGTGAACAATTGCAGTCCCAACACTGATCCCTGAGGCACACCATTAGCCACTGACCGCCAACGAGAAAAACACCCATTTACCCCTACTCTTTGCTTCCTACTGGTCAACCAATCCTCTATCCATGCCAATACATTACCTGTAATACCGTGCAACTTTATCTTATGTAGCAGCCTTTGGTGTGGCACCTTGTCAAATGCCTTCTGGAAATCCAGATACACCACATCCACAGGTTACCCATTGTCCACCATGCAAGTAATGTCCCCAAAGAATTCCACCAAATTAGTTAAATATGACCTACCCTTCATGAACTCATGCTGGGTGTTCCCAATGGGACAATTTATATCCAGATGTCTTGCTATTTATTCCTTAATGATAGATTCAAGCATTTTCCCCACTACCGAGGTTAAGCTAACTGGCCTATAGTTACCTGCTTTTTGTCTACTTCCGTTTTTTAAACAGTGGCGTCACATTGGCTGTTTTCCAATCTGCCGGAACCACCCCAGAGTCCAGTGAATTTTGGTAAATAATTACAAGTGCATTTGCTATTTCCCCCATCACCTCTTTTAGTACCCTGGGATGCATTTCATCAGGGCCAGGAGACTTTAGCCCCATTAGCTTGCCCAGCTCTGCCTCCTTAGTGATAATGATAGTTTCTAGGTCCTCACCTGCTATAACCTTCTTGCCATTAGTTTTCGGCATGTTATTTGTGTCTTCCACAGTGAAGACCGACACGAAATAACTGTTTAGTGTCTCGGCTATTTCCTCATTCCCAGTTATTAAATTGGCCTTCTCATCCGCTAAAGGACCAATGTTTACATTCGCCACTCTTTTACGATTTACATATTTATAGAAACTTTTGCTGCTTGTTTTAATGTTCTGAGCTAGTTTACCCTCATAATCTACCTTACTTTTCTTTATAACTTTTTTTGTGGCTTTCTGTTGGCCTTTAAAGATTTCCCAGTCTACTAGTTTCCCACTACTCTTTGCTGTTTTGTACGTTTTTTTTTCAATCTGATACTTTCCTTTATTTCCTTAGACATCCATGGCTGGCTCTCTCTTTTCCTACAGTTCTTCCTTAGAACTGGAATATACTTCTGCTGAGCACTGTGAAAAATCGTTTTGAAAGTCCTCCACTGTTCCTCAATTGACCCACCATAAAGTTTTTGCTCCCATTCTACCTTAGCTAACTCCTCCCTCATTCCTTCATAGTCTCCTTTGTTTAAGCACAGGACATAGGTACTGGATTTAACGTTCTCACGCTCCATCTGTATTTTAAATTCGACCATACTGTGATCACTCCTTCCGAGAGGATCCCTAATGTGACTGATGTCACCCATTTGCAGTTTGTAAAGTCTTCCCCACCTTCCCCATTCTAGGCTGAATCCAACTGTGAGTGCAACCGTCTCAATGGTTTGAATATCAAAAGAAAAAAAGAGTGTGAAAAATCATTGTCATACATTTCTCCACTGGAATACAAAGTACACATACATAGAAATCAGTCCTTGCAGGAGCATGCTCCTTTAAATATTGTTTTTGATTGCCAGTTCAAGGCCATAATGTCTTGTAGCACTTTCATGCATGTTGGGATCCAACTGAAACCAATGCATCAAGGAGTACAGACTAACTATAATGATTGGAAAAACTAAATGATTGCATCACATATAATTGTGTGGAGTTTGCACATTCTCCCTGTGTCTGCGTGGGTTTCCTCTGTGTGCTCCGGTTTCCTCCCACAGTCCAAAGATGTGCAGGTTAGCTGGATTTGCCATGCTAAATTGCCCATAGTGTTCAGGGATGTGTAGATTAGGTGGGTTACAAGGGGACGGGTGTGGGTGGGATACTCCGAGGTTTGGTATGGACTTGTTGGGCCGAAGGGCCTGTTTCCACACTGTAGAGATTCTATGTGGATTCTATGTAACATTTATACAAAATAATAGGACTACAGACATCGAATCAATCTATTGGAGAAGCTTAGATGATGCAATTTGGTACATTATCTTTAGAAATGATCTGGAACACATCCCTTTATGTCTAATACACAATAACATTTCAAATGAAAATGCTTTCTATAATCTTTCAAACAAAAACGTCTCTCAGCTCCAGGCACCCGGGTTCAATTCCGGTCTCGGGAAACTGTGTGTGGACTTTGCACACAGTCTCCCCTTATCCATGTGGGTTTCCAACACGTGCTCTGGTTTTTTCCCCCACAGTCGAAAAGATGTACAGATTAGGTGGATTGGCCAAGATAAATGCGGGGTTACAGGGATTGGTGGTGGTGGTGGGGGGAGGAGGTTGAGTATGGGTGGGATGCTCTTCAGAAGGTTGATGCAGATTGAATGGCCTGTTTCCATGTTGTAGGGATTCTACAATTCTAGTCTAGTGCTAAATCAGTATTAGGATGTCCATTATACAATTGTTGTATTAACAAACTAAATAGCAGTTCTGTTAGATAATAGGAGAGTATTTCTGAGAAATTAGAATCTAGACGAAATAATCCTGGGCAAAAAGTGTGGAAAGATAGATCTTTATATATCTTTAAAGAAAGACAAGAGAATACAACAGTAATAGCATAACAACGTAAACTCAATGCAAACACAAGTACAACCAATAACATTGGGAATTGCACTCCCAAAATGTTTAACAATTTTAAGACTATTGGAAACAATTTTGACATGAAATTGCTTCTAACTTAGAAACAGTTTACAACTATGCAGCATCTTCCATATGCTCAGGAGTCCCAAAGCAGTTTACATTAGTTGGATTAGTTTTTAAAAATGCAGTCAGTCAATCATACAACATTCCTCAAACAAATGGGTATTTGACTTATTTCTATTGAATTTAGCTGAGAAAAGAATGGCAACTAGGACATCAGAATAAGTAGCCCCCTAGAATTTTTTAGGCTCATCTGAACAGGCAAATATTGAAAAGGCAGCATCATTCTCAGGACTGCAGACTGTTACTAGTGGGGTACGAGGGCTAACTGTTCACAATCTGATAAACAATTTGGATGTGAGGACCAAGTATAATATTTCTAAATTTGTTGCTGACACCAAACTGGAAGAAAATGTAGGTTGTAAAGAGGGTCCAAGGAGGTTTCACATGGACAGACTAAGTGAATGGGCTAGAACATGGCAGTTGGGTTATAAATATAGCCCAGAGGACTTGGAAGTCGATTCCTTGATCTGGTTCAAGATAATCTCCAGAAACCTACTGATTTCTGGAGACTAACAATATTAAGGAATATGAAGATGGTACAGAAAAATTGCATTGAGGAGATGACCAGCCATGGTCGAGATTGGTAGGGCAGCCTTGATGCGCTAAATGACCTCCCCCTGTTTCTACATTCCTCTAATAATGCAGCATCTCTTTAATAATTGAAAGATGAATAATTTGCTCAAAGCATACAGCACTTCAAATATTTGAAAGAGAAAGGAAATCTTTAACATCACAAGAGAAAAGAGATAATTAACATTATAGATATAATTTTTTAAATCTGAAGTTCTGATCTTTTCCATTTTGGCTGTTGACTGTCCGTTGTACACTGCAGCAGGCTAGTTTAAGAAAATAAAATAAGTGCACAAATGTGCTGATTACTGACCTGATCTTTTAGAAGCATTATTCCACCACTGGACTGAATAGTGCATAGCTCACGGTGTTTGTTCATGGCGATTACTAAAAGTCCATCCATAACTCGTTCCTCATGTTCGATCGGATCTACCAATAGGTAAGTTCTACATAAAACAAAAATTACTTACAAAATAAATCCCACGTATCTAGCATGTTCTCATCTCCCTTTTGCTATCTTTCGTTCAGAAGCATATCCCAAAGTCTTATGTAAAAAAAAAAAGTACCTTCTGCATTGTCTCAAATTTTTATATGAATTTTTAATGATTCAAACAAAGCAAATGTGCTATTTACTACTATTTTATATTCACTTTCATGCTCACAAAATGCTTTAGATCTTTCTTGTAATATTATATTTAATAAATGTCCCAAGTTTTAGGTGTATTTTTTTTTTTACAATATTAAAAAAGGGACAGACTACCTCTTAAGCATTTAGATCTAAAACATAGTTTGTGCACAGTAAGGATCATGCCTGATGCACCTGATTTTCTATCCATTTAAAATGAAAAGGAGGAAACAGCACTGTTATACAAACCCTACAGTCCCTGCTTGAGTTTATTCAGTCATTCCTCGGTCACATTATATGTTCAATCATCAAACAGAAAAAAATCTGCAACAAATCTATTCTTATTGTTTTAAGAAGGTAATTGTAACCTGAGATACAATGTAAAAAATATGATATTCACAAGCTCATCACTCAAGATAAATCAAAACAAGTAATGCGACAAAATGAAATCATTCCTATCACTTTTATAGAGGAATTTCTATGTATGTTTATTACAGAAATTCCAGAAGGTGTTTGATAATGTCCGTCAAAAAAACTTAGCTAAAAATGAATTCACAAATAGAGGACAAACTATTTATTTACTTGGGAAATTGGCTGAGCAGCAGGAAACAAAGCAGGCATTCTAATAGACAGAATGTGACATTTAGTGTTTTATAATTATGTATGTTGGGGCTTCAACTATTCATTTTATCTTTTAATGACCAAGATGATTTGATAGAAAACCATTATCCAAATTTTCTTATCCAGATTACAGCATTGTAAACCAATGGAAATGGAAGAATAAAATTACAAAGTGATGTTGAATGATCATCAAGTGAATGGCAAACAGATTTCAACATAAAACATGAAGTCATCCACCTAAAAATGGACAGGCAGGCTACTTTATAAATGGGTGAAAAAGTTAGAAAGAATGGCTGTCCACAGAAACTTAGGAATAAAAGGTACAAAGACCAATAAAATGTCTTAAACAGGCACTGAAAATTAAAAAAAAAGTGATGGCATGCTGGCCTTTATGTCTAAAAAAACACAAATACAAGGTGGCAGAAGTTACGCTTCAGTCCTGGCTAGATCACATGTGTACTTACTTTGTACCGCATACCTTAGAAAGGATAACTGGATCTTGGGGGGGGGGAAAAAAAGTGTACCCAGACTTCAAACGTTAAATTGTAACAACAGTTTATACAAATTAGGATAATGTTCTCCTAGAATTTAGAAGCTTAAAGGGTGATTTGTTTGAAGTTTTCAAGGCACCAAGGGAAACAGGTAGAACTGCTGCTGGGAAAAAAAATTATGCTGGCTGAGGAGGAGTGATATTGGAAGGCAGTCTAAAAATTAGAGCCAGATGTTTCAAAAATAAAATTAGGAAACAATTTCTTTGGTAAGTGTGGCAAGTTTGGAATTATCTTCCATAATACACCTGTCGCTAGATCAATTGTTAATTTTAAGTCCAAGATTGTTAGATTTTCTTAATCGCAACTATTAAGGGACATGGAGCAAAGGCAGGCATGTGGAGTTTGGTCCAAGATCAGCCATGATGCTTTGAAAGATGGAGCAGGATCAAAGGGCTATGCAATGGCCTAACTGGATTAACAGTCCAGTGATAAGAGACCCAGATAACGTTCTGGGGACCCAGTTTCGAATCCCGCCATGGCAGGTGGTGGAATTTGAATTCAATCTATATCTGGAATTAAGGATCTAATGATGACCACGAATCCATTGTCAGAAAAACCTATCTGGTTCACTAATATCCTTTAGGGAAGGAAACTGCCATCTTACCTGGTCTGGCCTACATGTGACTCCAGAACCCATAGCAATGTGGTTGACTCTTAACTGCCCTCTGAGCAATTAGGGATGGGCAATAAATGCTGCCTAGCCAGCGACGCCCTCATGCGAAGAATGAATAAAAATGGCCTTCTCTTGTTACTAATGTGTAAAAGTTAGCATTATTAGGTAAAACCCTCAACTAGTTGGTTCTGTAGCTGCTGCCATGCTTTCTAAAAATGGTTGAAAGTAAAATGCTAACTCATATCCTGCTAAGCCAGCAGAAATCCCATTTGGAGTTAGTATTTTTCTAAAAATTAAGATTATATGTTGGTCCCCTTTTAAGGTTATAATAACATTTTACTGCAAAAGCTGGTGTACAACTATTTTTCTTAATTTTTTTGGGTTCATAAGGAGAAAAAATATTACAATATGTACACGTATGTGATAAAGCCGCACAAGAAAGCAATTTTGTACATACCCCTGCTGGAAGAAGGCAAAGCTGACAGCAATGGGCATGTGATGTATGCTCAATGGAATTGGATCACGTTCCTCCGGGCTGTACTAGAGATAAAAACACTGTTAGAAGCATATTCTTTAATGCTGAGAATTATTCAAATACAGAATAATGAGTCAGTACAATAGGTTCTCACCATAAACAATAAGAAATATTCAGACCCCCTATAAAATGATTAGGCTCTCTATTTCTGCCACAGCACCAGGAAACTTCCTTCACATGTATAGATGCAATTTCAGTCTATTTAAAAAGAATGGAAGCTGGAAGCTGGAATCTGAAATCTGAAATCTGAAATAATAGCAAGGTGCTAGAGAAACTCAGCAGGTCTTGGTGAGTTTCAGGCAAGCTTTAAATGGTGTCTGCAGGTACCAGTGTGCTGCCATATCAACAGTCTATTTCTTGAAAGGGCAAATAAAATATTTCCCAACCAAAACCAATTAATTTGAATGGTAGCGAGTCTTGGAAACAAAAGCCATGGGCTGATTTCCTATTTTAAGGCTGTATTTCCAATAGGTTTCATGGTAGGTTTCCGAGCATGACATTTCTCACGCTAATTATGCAACCTGCCTCTTTCAGTCCTTCTCATGTTCCAGAAGCAGTTCAATTCCCACTGCTGACAGAATCTTCTGGGATGTACAAGCTACTGGTGGCACAGATGAAGCCCAATTTGAATGCTACAAGCCAGGAACTATAATCGCACATTATCCTTGTAAGAAACCAAAATGTCTCAAAGGAAAGCTGACACTCCACATTTGAAATGGGGAACTGGAAGTCCTGGTGGACAAGGTGGTCAAGGGGTTCACCAGTTTGTTGAAACAGATCACCAGAGAAGGCCAAAACACCAAACACAGCCAGCCTGAACAGATAGCAGACTGGGTCACTGCCATCTCCAGGTTCAGACAGAATGCAAAACAATGCAGGAAAGAGCTCAAATGATCCTCTGCACTCTGCAAGGGTATATGACATCTTCTACCGGTCACCTCACATTATCTCTACCATGGCACGCACCTCACCAATGATAAAGAACTGTCAACATCACTATTGCATTCAGCATCTCCACTCAATGAATCTCACCAACCTCATCCCCCACAATTACTAACCCTTCCTGTCTTCTGGCCACAAGGCTGGCAGCCACCATTTAAGTGCAAATTAAGGTGAGCACTAAGAAATGAAGTTAAAAGCTATAAGATTCACCCAGCCCAACAGCACAACATTGCTCCGTAACCTTGTGTGAAAAATATTTGGCAGAAGCATTCAAATCAAAGGCTCCCAAGTTCTAAGTGATGTCCTGAACATCTAATAACACTCAGGAAGTGCTGGAGGAAGTCGGCAGGTCTGGTAGCATCTTTGGACAGAGAAACAACTCCAATATGACTCTTCTTCACAGTTCAGAATTTATGTTCTCATTAAGACCACAAAAAGGCCTCTCTACTCCAGAAATGGAGATTAATAAGGGTGTTAGAGATAACACCCCAGAGAAGTCCATGTGTTTGGTATGGAGGCCCAGACAGCGTGTATATCTAGCAGAGCTTTGGACAGAATAGTGATGTAATTAAAAACAAATTAAAAAATGCGTAAAAAACAGGCGCATAGTGAACAAAAGTATAAACAATTCCCCCCACCAAAACACAAGAACAAAAAACTTGTTGGTGCATTGGGCAATGGTTTAGTCAGCCGCTCCAAAGAGATCCTTGGAGCTTGTTGACAGATTTCCCACCTGAGAGGGACATGAACTTGCAGGACTTCTCAGCAACCAGTGGCATTCAGCTTAGTAGTTTAATAAAGGCATACCACATTTAGTGGAATAGTGTCCAAGTTGTTGTGCGCCACTGATACCTGAGCTAAAATCTCAGACCAACCAAGGGGATGTAGTACTACCAATGCTTCCTCCTTATCAATCCTACTAATTATAATCTCAAGTATCCCTCCAAGACTTGTCGATTATGATCTCCCTTTCATAAATCCAGGTTCACTCCATCCTCTCATACTACAACTTTCCAAATGTCCTGTTGCTATAGTAAGGGTTTAGAATTTTTCCAACTACCAATATCAGACAAACTTGCCAGTCATTCTCATTTTATCTTTCCCTCCTTTCACGAATGATGAGACTATGCTTGCTATCTTCCAATCAACTAATTCCTAAAGTACTATCAACTGCCTATGCACAGTCTAGTCTTTCAGTTATTTCCTCTAATCTACTTTAGCCAACACCCACTTCATATCTACAAAGTTTACTAGATCAGATTCCAGACCTGTGTTTCAGAGTTAGTTTAATTACTCAAACTAAGTATCAAACTCTATCATATTCATCAATACTCTTCGAGAGGTCTTTTACTTATGGTTATTAATTAACTCTGTTACACTGCATTATACTAGATTTAAAATATAGTGGATTTTCCTAGTTGGTTGCTTGATACACTATTCTCAAAAAGTGAATTGTGATGGTACTATGCCATTAAGCAGGATTTGTTCTGTGCTGTTTCTCTTGCACAGAGGTGTTGCCCATGGTGACAGACCATCAGCTTCAGAAGCAGTGGGGATACAACTTTGAGTTCCCCGAGTATTTTTTTAAAATTAGATAGAAGAAGCATGAGTGGGTGCAGTCAGGCTCACAGAGGCACAGGGTTTTAGTTTTGCTTTCAGTTGAAGTTGGGGATTTTGGGAGTTAGTTGCTGAAGCTGCCAGATACAGCTCTCTCTGCTACAGCTAAAAGTTTGAGTTCTTTCTAAATTGCTAGATTGTTTCTTTCAGTATTCCTTTGTCCTGGACTAGAGATGGCATGTGACAAAACCTGTTTTGCTAAATTAGCCTTTGTCAAAGGTGTGTACATGGGATGCTAATATATTGGAACAGTTAATGATTGGTAGTTAAATAACATATTTTGTTAAGTACTTCAATAGAGTTAAATTTATGTCTTTTTCTGTCTGTGTTTTAACTGTGGTGTAAGAATAAAGTGCGTAGTAGTTTGACCAACTGAATTACATATAGAATGCAGTGCCTGACACGACTTTAAATAGGATAAAAGCTAGGTTCTAGGTTATCTCCTTGATATATTTTGAGCGGGTTTGGTCTGGTCCGTAACGGAATGCATTCCATGAATTTGTTCTTTGCTATCTTATTGCAAATTTGGTTTAACTAGTAGATAAGAAGGTTAAATTCTCGTTGATTACAGTACTACCCCTGTTGCATACATTTCTAATTTCCTGATGTATAGATGCCTTGCTGAACACTGCAAAGACCTTAAGGGGGTCCTATAAGCTACTCCCACCAGTTTTTTTCTGTGGTTCTGGGTGGTTCTTAAATCCACTTCAAACGGATTCTACATTTTGATTTTCTGAGTTAAGATTCTCCTTCTCTTCTGCCTTCATCCCATCGTTTATCATCAAAGTCTCTTCCCTGCCATACTTTTCTATTTTACCTATCTTTTTCTAAAAGCCAACTGTCCTGGAATATTTAGTTTTCAACCTTCTTTCTGCAACTATGTCCTACTGGGTATGATATTAGATAGCAATAAATGCATTTGATCTATATTTTTACTTATTTATTTTGCTGTATATGCTTTGTGCAATTTGACAAAGTGCCTTCAGCATCAACTGCTTTCTATTTCTCACAGATGTCATCTTAGTGCTTGCAGTCCCACTATGTTTAAGCAATTTGTCCTCTCGTGATCAACTCTTTGCAAATTTTTATCTAAGTCAGTGCTCTGCTCTTCAGACTCAACATTTTTTATTATTTTCAATTCATTTTTAATTGATTCTTCCCAACCCCATTCATTAATTTGAAGCTCTAAGCCACTGCCCTAATTATTCAATTCACTGATACACCGCTCCCAGCTTGTTTTAGTTGCAGTCCTGCTCTCTTTTCCCCGGTAATAGTGACAGTGCCCACTGTCCAATAATAAGTTTTTGATAACTTTCTTACTATGTTCTACATATGATACCTTATTGGCTATTTTTATCATCACAAAGTTCTGTTCAGAGTGTTAGTATTCAAAACTCACCTTTTACCTCATTCATGTCCTCCCAGTGCAAAACCAAAAAGTAAATGCTCAGTCTAAAATGTTCCTGCTTATGAGAGTAAATGTAGATAAAGCAACCTCTTACAGCCACTTAGAAACAAAAATAATTCCTAAAACAAATTAAATTTCTCCAATCAAAAATGCTATCTCATATCTACGGTATTGACTAATTTAGTACAAACAACTACAATAGGTAGGAGCTACTGTCGTGGTCACTGTATTACAAAGAAAAATTGGTCATTATTATGGTTAATAAATCAGTCTCCCTGAAGTTTTTAATGACAGTCTATAGATCCGGCAGGTTTTGGCATGTAAATACTTCATCAACACTGCACAACTCAAAATCAAAAACGATCTGAAGATTTGTGGTGATTGGGCTACTATAAGCATTTTTGCACAATAACCAAAATTTGTCCCATCCTTAGTTATCAGAATTTCACTGCCTCACTCCTTTCTCATTTTAAAGTGATACATGAAGTAAGATATGCCATGATTTACAAGAGACTCTGTTGATGGCAGCTGGCTTGTATGCAAAAATCATGTATTAAAAGACACTGTGGTTTGCATGCAGCAGCTTGCCAACCATTTAATTTACATGATAAGCAGAAAAATGCACAAAAACTTTCCAATATAGACTCTCAAACCAGGTACACATGTGGATTGGAAGGAACCCCTAATAAGCTTGTTCGAAAGAGAAAACTGCTAGCACATTAGGAACAAGATCCTACTAATGTTTTGTTACTTACAGATTTGGCAGGACAAGTCCTTAAAATGGATGCCTTCTGCGTGAATTGCTTAGCCCAGTACAAAATACGTGAATATATTTGAAAATTATATATTTGAAGACAAAATTGTATGATCGCTTAAGCACTACAGGGGTCTGACAATTGAGCATAACTTCATGCAAAACTAGTTAAGCTACAACTGCGCAATAAAACATCTTCAGAAACAAAACAAGTCAAAATCTAGAGAAGTGTGAACGGCAGAAGTTAAATATGTACACCGTCAATTTTCCAGTTTCTAGGAGGG